AGGTTCTTGTTCAGTGTCTGGATGGCGACTGTAGTTATTTCTTCAAGGGATGGGGTCGTGTTTGTAGTGTCTAGAATCTTGTACTGTAGATGGTCTCCGTTAAACAAACCTAACGACAGAGAAATGCTTTAATCGAACGACGAATGTAGGTAATGTGATTTTGTAATTACAAACACGCAACCAGTGGTCAACCAAAATTTTTAGAACTGTTCACTCATCGAGTAGAAACTCCGTTTTATTGGTGTCTACAGCCACGAGCTGCTCATTGTTCCACAAACACTCGTAATTTACATGAAGCTTCTTTTAGTCCGTTTTCATGAAGTTTTTAAGAAAAACAGCGAAATACAGACGAAGAGATCATAAAAGAAATGACGTCATCCACAAAGAACTACAAACAGAGCCAATATTGGAAAAAAATCCACAGATACAGAAGGAACTGGATCCAACATGTACGAAGAATGGACAAGAACAGATTGCCACATCAAATTTTGAAACATAAACCAATAGGATAAAGAAATAAAGGACGCCCTTTAAAAAAGATTCCTGGATGATTGAGGCCGGAACGGGTCACAAGGCTCAAAATCCTTGACAGCTAGATGATGATGATGATGATGTGGCTATCAAATCGACGTCTGTTCTGCTACCACGCGTTCGTTCCTCGCCTACAGCGTTTTTTGATCGAAACTGTTTGAGGCCACCTCCTAGTACCACCCGTATGAAACAAGCAGAGACGTCTTACAGGAAGCTACGAATATCACCCATGGGAAATAATGGTAAGCGCTGATATGCAGACCTCTATAATTTGTTTGTTTATATTACGCTGTTATGACCTATTTACATGAAATGCATACATTAACGCATAATGGAAGGGCCGCCCTTCTGTTTGCGACTTGAAACTCCGAAACTAGTAAACGGATTAACACTCAGAAGATGACTGCCTTTTTGAGGTTTATAAGAAACTCTGAATTTTAAAATTATCTTCTTTTTTTCAAAATTAATGTGTAGTTTGTGTAAATGTGTTGAGTTATATATCATTTAAGGAGGATCTGTCACAATAGAGTACATAAGGTTTAAGCAGTTTACAAAATTATTTATGAGAGATAAAAAAGGAAGGATTTAAGGGAGAAGAATATGATAACGTAGCATAACCAGAGGAGGGGAGGGGACGGCACCTGGTTTCAAGAATTTCGTACAATAGCATGAATATATGTCATGAAACGAGCGTGGCTAATGATGTTAGCATTACTAATACAACAGGGCCATTGCGTGATAGCATGCATGGTATAGGATTCGCGCTGCTGCTGATTGAGTGTGGAGAATATGTGGACGAGGACAGAGGAGGGAACAGGGGATAGAGAAAATTACGCATTGAGGGGTTTCACAAATTTTTACTCTTCATTAATAAAATAAGATGAAATGGACTATTCGTATACCAGCTCATGCGAAAAATAAGAAATCCGTACAAAATTATAGCTCGACACCCTGAAGGAATAAGACATCTTGAGTGAGTTTGACGCAGACGTCAGGATAATATTGAAGTAAATTTGGAATAAACAGGGAGGAAGGATGTGAACTGGATCAGCGATGGGCTGTTGTAAATACAGTACTGAATCTTCTGGTTAAAGGACAGAGAATTTCTTATCAGCTGAGCGACTTTCAGTTCGAATAATTAATCTGCTCTATAGAACTAGTTATAATTACTCATGAACGTTAGGTTGACTGCATAGCAACGAATATTAGAAAGCTATATTTAAAGATAAATTCACGTGAAATTGTTGGCTGTTCTGATAAGTTGTAAAGGTGTGTTTTTTACCTGCGTACGCAATGGTTAAGTGCAGTGGTTTGTTAATATTGGTCTGTTGTCTCTAATAACAAAATTCATTACAGAGTTCGACTTGAAAACAAATCTCTTCCTACGTACTTCCTGGACAGGCACCCATGTGTTGTAGATGCTTTTTGGCGGTGTAACGACATTTTAATTACGAACATTGTGTACCCACAATTTAGGCTCCAGCTTAGTTTATGAGAAATGTGTTACTGTATCACTTTATACAAGCATATGTTGTATTGCCCTTTGTAGGTTAAACCCTTGTAGCTGACCGATACACTGTCAAAGGAATCTTGACAAATGTCCAAATTCTGAATAGGGGTAAGGCAGATGACCAAAACCGCGAAAGCTGAAGAAGGTGTTAACTGAATACAAACATGCCTTACTTAGTGTTATTATTATTATTGTCATCTTGCATTTATATTTCTAGAATCAAAGCAACACAAATCTGTTAATAATCACAACTTCCAGTCCATATGCGCAGACTCATTTCGATTACTTATGAGTGCCGCGATGTTATCAAGTTTATGAAGGTGAGAAACAGACACAAGGTCTCTTGAAGATTTCTGTCTTCTGGGTTGTTGCGCTGTGTAGTATGGCAGATGTTTACGAACGTTTCAGAGGTCATACTGCCTCCGTCATCAGGGCCTCTGAAACGTTTGTAACCATCGACCATACTACACGGCGCAACAACCCAGAAGACAGAAATCTTCATACTCACCGCTGTGAAAACCTCAAATCTTACGCAAGGTCTCTTGTCATAAGGTTATGCAAGAAGGATCTGAATCCTGTAAAGTGAATTACACTCCTCATAGTTTCACTGCTAAGTACTCCGAAACGTGTGCACGTGACTGGAGTTTATTTTAATGTGATATTGAGCTGTAGTGTTCTGCAAGGTGACGCGCTGAACATGTGGATAGCATGAAGCGCAGTGCGTGTGCTTAAGCAACAACAGAAAAATGGACCCCTGCAGTATTATTCAGTTCTGAAACCATACAGTACAGGACGGTGTGCAGGCAGGTCACTGGACGAATAATGACTGACAGTCTCTTAAGCCATGTTCACACGGACTTAGTGCCAAGAATAATAAAAACACTACTGTAGCGAGTTACTAGATTTATTATTGTTAATATTTTTTAGAAGCCAGTGCTTCTTTACTCAAGTTTAGTAACTAAACCCTGGTAACTCTGTCCAGAAGGTTTGACTGCAAGTGACTGTTGAATTGGAATGGATGTGAAAGGAAACTGCCGTTATCTGCTTTCTACTCTTTTCGGATAGTTATCTTTTTGAGTTTTAATTACTAAACTGTGAATCCGTTTCCGTAACTCATTCAAAATCAAAACACGACTTTAAAATGTACCATTGCTGATAAGCAGGTCATATGTAGCTCTACAAGTGGTAAGGATTGTTCCTTCAGATGTTAATAGTTACTCAGATGAACAAGAAACTGTTGTAATGTTATCGGATTCAAAGGACTGTTGCCGTGTTAACAAAAACCCACAACTGGATCCTGTCCATGGACAGCTGAATCCACTTAAAGCTTTGACACCGTATGTCTCTGAGGCCCATTTTGATTTTATCCTCCCATCTACGTCAAAGAGCTATATTCCCTTGGCAATTTCAGATCAAATTGTTGTAAGCCTGTGCATTTCTCAATTCCCCATGCGTGCTGAATATTCTGCCTACTTAATATCCCTATAATTAATTACAATACACAATTTTAAGTTGAGTGACAAAATTGTCATTACATCGACAAGTCACTGTTTACAACTCCAGACGATAAGCTTATAAGCAAACTGACATTGTTTTATTTAAGCCGTGTGTAAAGTATCGTCTGTATTTGACCCATGGGAACGACCGAATTTAAAAACACTGGACAACATTATGTGTAGGCAACAGTAGGCCATACCAAATTCAGTCAAAATCCGATCCGTGTTTTCGGAGATAACTAAAAGTGAACGGACGAATGGACAGACAGAGAGGCACTACAACCTTTTTATGCTTTCATTTTATGTACTTAGTACAAAATAACATAACAATATATTAAAAATCTTCACTATAAAATTTGTCATATATACGTTAGGCTACATCACGAATAATTACGAATGAATTATGAAAATGGTTCAATTCCGAGGACATCGAAAGTCCTTGAAAGTAAAAAAATTATGTTTAATTAATTTTACATAAATTTGATCTCATAATGATGGAATTAGAACAGTATTACTTTGTACACTGACGCAATGATAAGTACAAAGAGAATACCGCGATCTTCTCTATAACTTTATAAATACTGTAAGTACATAACTTACAGGGATTATTTGATATCGTAACGTACAGGGAGATATTATTACATTGCTTTTAACATGCCTTCAAGGACCGCA